AGTTCAAGTCCTGGACCTGGTGGCTTAAACTCACACTGGGTGCATGTGCATGCATGCCCAAGATACCGAAAGGAGAATAGAGGAGAAGGGATTGTGGCATGGCCATCCCCCAGGGGGTGATTTCTTGCTTTCTGCCTCTCTCTGTCTTTCTGGTGAGAGTGTATGCCCTATAGCAGAAACCTCTCAAAAACAGACAGACAAACAAATAAACAACAACAAGAAAAGAGTGTGTATTTAAGCCAAAATGGAGGAGACTTCTCAAGAAGTGGCAATAGATTTGGTCTAAACACCCATCAACTGTGTCAATCTATAATTGCCTACATTTTTTTCCTAGACCCTTTCTTAAAAACAATAATTTATTTAATTTGTTATTATTATTATATTTTAATTGATCACACAGAAACAGAGAGAGAGAGAGAGAGAGGAAGGGAAAGTGAGAAAGCAAACCGCCAGGTCCGGACTCGCACCCTGGTCGGCCATGTGGGAATCCAGTGTCTTTAACCACCACGCCACCTGCCAGCTCCCCTAGACCTCATACTCATAGTTATTTAAGATAATAATTGGGACCAGCATTCAGCGTAATGGCTATGTCGCTGGATTCCCATGTAGTTGACCATGGTTCGCGTCCCGGGCCTGATGGCTTAAACTCACGCCGGGCGCATTGTGTGTGTGTGCCCAAAATCCCGAGAGGAGAATGGAGGAGAAGGGATTGTGGCGTGGCCATCCCCCCTGGGGGGTGATTTCTCACTTTCTATCTCTCTGTCTCTCTCTGTCTGTTTGGCGAGTGCACACGCCCTATAGCAAAAACCTCTCAAAAAAAAAAAACAAAAGATAATTGGTCATTTCTCCTTAGGCGATTTTAACAGGGCTTTCTGTAATCTTTAAATGAAACAGAATGTACTCCTTTTCTTATGGTATACAGCAGTAGAAAGAGTAAACCAGGTAGCCTCAGGTCAGAAAGAGAAAAATATAGGTTATTCCCCACATTATCGATTGATTAATACCCTAATTCTCATTTAGGATTTAAATATGGATCCTCTCTTTTAGCTCATGCTATTCTTTGTTCTTTCTCTGGGGCTGCATCTTGTTTTCTGTAATCCCCAAACCCTGGAGAGTTGAAAGTGGAGGTTTTCTGAAGATAAATAAATTTTCTTTTCAAATCAGCACTCCATGTAGGATTTTTTATTGACATGCTCTGCTTGACATAGTGAACTTTCTGGTACCATGGATGGCCTGCAGCTTTTCTGAACTTGTGTCATTCTGAGACTACTGCTTCTTGGGCCATCTGCTTGTTATTCTTACTATTCCTCAAGTCACAGACTGGCCTGCAGAAATCTCAAGGCATGGATGGGTTATAAGACTGAAGGGTGCAAAGGCAGGAGTAAGCAGATGCTCAGCTGAAAAAGTTAGGGACTGAGATAGAGCCATGGAGGAGGAAAAAATTAGTACCTTGGAGCTAACCCCAAAAGAAACCAATGGTTAAATAATTATGGAAACAAATGAATCCAAAAAGAAGAACCATGAGGCAAAAACTGGCCAAAGCCAATGAGACATCTTTAGGGATAAAAGATTTCAGAGATTTGGACATGCATACCAGGCAAAGTTATGACATGAAACAGGCAAATACACTTATTACTCCTTCTGATGTTACTCCTCCAGCTTCTTCCATGTGTGGAAATTTGATCTGCTTCACATAGGCTTCTAGTTTCTGAAGAAGGATGCTTTTCTATATTGCAATCCACATGTGATTTTTTACGTGCTTTTATCAAACACAAGCTGCACTACTCTGGCTTGTCCCCCAGTCTCAGTTCCTACCCCAGGTACGGCCTAGGGTACTTTGGTTTCAGAGAAGACTAAGTCTGCACATTTCTTTTGCCATTTCCCAGATCTAGGGCTATTTCTTTTTTTCAGCAATGCTCTGTTACCAACTGGGGTGTCCAAAAATTCAATTCTGACACTAACTCCCTGGAGTTATCATAGACCCCCAAAGATTAAGTCCTGGAAGACTATCTCCACTTCAAGTGCCAACCTTAAATGGGGTCCCCAGTCTACAGGTACGTCTAAGACAGTCATAGGGCAAGGATGGGGGTGGCATTCCATGCCCTCTCTGAGTACACCACCCTTCAAGGAACTCAGTGTTTTCATCAATCCAGAAGCCTCCCTCCTCTCCCCACAAATACTTCATCATTCAGAGTTTTTAATCAATATTTTATTTCAGAAGGCTGATTGGTTAAATGTATGGCTATTGGTGATTGAGCACCATCTCTAGTCCCATTCCCTGGAGATTTGATGGTGGGGCTGAAAGACCCCGTCCTACAACCTTCTGACCACCTGCTGAGTCAGTTCAGGAGCATGAACTCAGACACGGTTAAAGGGACTCCCTATGGATAATAAAAGACACTATTCTTATCACTCAGGAAATAATTTTATTTTAAATTTGCTGTGGGGCAAAGAGAGAGAGAGGAAGTGAGAAAGCAAGTCACCAGGTCCAGGACTTGAACTGCTGTTGGCCATGTGGAAGTCCAGAACCTCAACCACTATGCCACCTGCTGGCCCCCTCAAATAAAATTTTTAACATAGTACGGAATCTTTTCCTGAAGTTGAAAAGGTGACATATAGACCAGTCAGAACCTCCATATCAAACTTATAAACCCTGCTCTCTATCTCTGGATCTTCCTTCTTCCTTTTTTAGAAATTAAGAATTATTTTTAATTTTAAAAATGCTTTTCATTTTTTTCCCAGTGAGCATATATGCACTCTCCAGAGAAAGACAGAATGAGAGGGGGAGAAAGAGCCCTCTAGTGAGGTGTGGTCATGCCACAGTCCCTTCTTCACTCTCTCTCCTGTCAGGATTTTGCTTACCCATGCACATGCACTTGGGGTGGTTTTCAAGCCACTGAGGCAGAGATTCAAACCATCAAAGAGAGAGAGAGGAAGTGAGAAAGCAAGTCACCAGGTCCAGGACTTGAACTGCTGTTGGCCATGTGGAAGTCCAGAACCTCAACCACTATGCCACCTGCTGGCCCCCTCAAATAAAATTTTTAACATAGTACGGAATCTTTTCCTGAAGTTGAAAAGGTGACATATAGACCAGTCAGAACCTCCATATCAAACTTATAAACCCTGCTCTCTATCTCTGGATCTTCCTTCTTCCTTTTTTAGAAATTAAGAATTATTTTTAATTTTAAAAATGCTTTTCATTTTTTTCCCAGTGAGCATATATGCACTCTCCAGAGAAAGACAGAATGAGAGGGGGAGAAAGAGCCCTCTAGTGAGGTGTGGTCATGCCACAGTCCCTTCTTCACTCTCTCTCCTGTCAGGATTTTGCTTACCCATGCACATGCACTTGGGGTGGTTTTCAAGCCACTGAGGCAGAGATTCAAACCCTGTAGGCAGCCAGTGAGATCTGGCTCCCCTAACCACTAAGCAATAAGGCCAGCCTGGGATCTTCATTATTTTCTAGATAGGTAAAAACAGGATCTCTGAGACAACTGGACAGTGGCATAGCAGTAATCCAACAATCTTCAAGACTGACTCACATAGGAAGGGTCCTGGTTCGTATCTGGAGACTTCCCTGAGTACACCAAGCATATGTGTATTTCAGGACCGGCTGAAGCTGAGTGTGTCTCTTGGTGTCAAGACTCTGTTGGCAGTGTCCCCCACTGTCTCTGTTTCTCTTGCTCATGGAAAAAAACAAAACAGAACAAAGCAGTGTGTCTGAAAGTTATTTAATCTTGTATAGGCCAATTACTAATTTCAGAGGAAAAAAAATTATTCATATATATTTTACAAAATTGCAATGTAGAAGTTTTCACAATCTTTACAATAGTTCTCATTTGTTCGAACATCTCCTTAGATTTCAAAGGCTGTAAATGAGCCTGAAGATTGCCCCAGCCACTTTATCTCGCCTGCACTGGTTCATGGCTCTATTTGTATATCACTTATTGATACAGTTTCACTTGCTGATTGTGTTTCCATAGTGACTGCTCTATTGCATAATGTCTTCAATTCCAAGGGTTGCTTATTAACTCGTATTATTCAAGATGTTAGGTGAAATAAATAACCCCCAAACTCAGTGGTTTAAATGCTATATCTGCTTATTTCGTGTATCTGCTTTGAAAACCCAGCAGGGTCTCTCCTCACTGTAGTCACCTGGAACATTGGCCTTCAGTGGTTCATCTTGACACCTGTTTCTCTGATAGCCATAGCGAAGAAAAACGAACTTGGCAATGCATTCGCTGACTGTAAGGACTCTGCCCAGAATTGATGTTCTCATCTGACCATTTCACTGACTAAAGCCCCATGGATCTCTCTTGACTTAATTGCAGGTACCAGGAACTTATCAGGCTTTGGTAGGAAATCCAAACATTTAGTCTATTCTCCTGGAAAGGTTTAGACTAATTGGAAGGATTTTTTCCATGTGTAGCCACAAATGATTCAGAGATTTTTAATAATGAGTTCAACAGCCATACCCTTAATTAGATGCTTGCCAAGAGTCTGAGGTATTTTGCGTTTGCTTCTGTTTTCTTCTTCATTTTTCTTTTCTTTTTCCTTCTTTCTTTTCTTTCTTTCTTTCTTTCTTTCTTTCTTTCCTTCTTTCTTTCTTTCTTTCTTTCTTTCTTTTTTTCTTTTCTTTTCTTTTCTTTTCTTTTCTTTTCTTTTCTTTTCTTTTCTTTTCTTTTCTTTTCTTTTCTTTCTTTCCTTCCTTCCTTCCTTCCTTCCTTCCTTCCTTCCTTCCTTCCTTCCTTCCTTTCTTTCTTTCTTTCTTTTTTTTTTTTTTTTTTTTTT